AACTATCTACAAACTACAAACTAAGAGAAACTATAAAGAATAATATTAAAATCTATCCGGAAAAGTCTTAATTTAATAAAATAACCTTGAGAGAATAATATTAAAAATTAATTTATATTTTATTCTATCAAGAAAAATATGAAATTAATAATATAAACTATAGAGAATAATATTATAATTTAGTTTATATATTATCTAGAAAATTATTAAATTTATAATAGATAATATAAAGAATATTATTATAAATTAATTTATACTTTATTCTATTAAGAAATATATTAAATAATTAATAGAAAAATATTTTAAATTAGTTTATATTTTATTCTATCTCGAAAAATATTTAATAAGTATTAAAATATGTAAAAGAAAACTATAAATAAACCTCATTGTTCATAAAAACCTAAATATAAAATTTTAATTGCTCAATTTAAGCCTTAAAATTGTTAACTCACAAAAAACTCATGTTTTTTTAATGTATAAAAACTTCTGATTAATATGGTTTCCTTATTAAAGAAAAACAGACTGCAGGAAAAACCGCAAAATGCCATAAATAAAAGTCAACGTTACGCTCATCTCTCTCTTTTTGATTTTTTTAGATAAATATTTATAAAATCAACAAGAAATTTGTAAAGCCGGAAATGAAAAGTGTTGGCCATGTTTTATTTGAAATTATTACTTTTTTGGAAGAAGAATTCCTTTCGATAGAACCAGGACTCTGTTTATAGTGTTCCTGCTCCTGCTCCTCTTCTACCTATTTCTGCACTCAATTAAGTCCAGCAAAAAGTTGCTATTGTCCTTTGCCACATTTCAAACTGCTAGAAACTGCTAGAAATCCAATTAACAATAAAGCCCCGCACCCTCCTCTAATGACATGCCACGCCCTCTAAAAGCTGTTTGAAAAGTGTGGGGTTTTTAACGGAAGTTCGACGGTGGTTTTCCCAACTAAATTGAATCGCAGCTGTCGGAAATGACTTCCCGGCGATGGGCGATGAAAAAGGACAACAACCGCGGGAAAGCATAAATCAAGCGACAATGGAGATGCCCTTTATTATGCCTTTATGCCTTTTATGCCTTTATATTTATGAGCGAGCGCAAGTGTTAATTTTATTACCCAACGGGGCGTATGCGTAATATTAATTATATACCAATAATAGATAGCCGAATTATAGTGATAAATCAGCAAGGATAAATCAGGGATAATTGCATGCGAGGGGGGGTGGGGTGACTAAATCCTTAGAAATGCAAATAACGCGAGACAGGTGACAATCAGCGAGGGAAATGTGTGCCATTAGCCCGCAAAAGTAGGCAATGAAATTAGTTTTATGAGGGGTTTTCAATGGGAAAGAGAGAGAGAGAGAGAGAGAGAGAGGTAAGAGGAGGCTTAGAACGGGGTTAAAGAGAGGTTAGAGGGGGTCTTAGAGGGTGGTTAGGTAGGGTAGGTTGCAGTATATCTTCATTGATCAATAATGAGCAGCCAAGTGTCGTCCTGCCAGGACTTCGTTTCGAGAGCTCTCAACTCTCAGCTCTCAGATAATCGATGAGAATTTTGCATAATGGCCTCCTGTCTCTGCCGACATAATCTCATGACGATCATCCTTTTTCCCCTCCCCTGCAAATCCTCACACAAACAAAACACAGAAATAGAAGAACTTTTTGGCTCAACTCCAAGGTGACTTGGCTGGGATTTTACACATTTCCCTCCCTTTTCCTTTCGTTATTTATAGAATACACACATTAGCTGAAAAACAATCGAAACTTCCCACTTAGCAAATTTGGGGACAAATTGCTTAATAATTGATTGATGTCCCCAGCCAGGACGACAGACAAGACAGGCCTAATGTTGTCTCGAGAGCTGACAGATATTTAAAGTACTTTCTCGTATAAGTAATTGCAATCACATCAAATCATGCTCTCAATCTCAAGCACTTTGTAGTTTCTTTTCTTTTTTAGGAGAATTTACATATTTTGTGGAGGTGGATAGAAAAAAATATATAAAATATGTTTTAATTAAGGTGAGGGGAGCTCAGGCAGCTAAGCTTTGAATATATTCATTTTTAATTAAAAAAAATCAATTTAAATGAATTAAAAATATATTTTTAAAACAATCAAATAGTTCTTGGCCTTAAAAAAAAAAAAAAAAAAAAAATTTTAATTAAAATTAATTCCTGCACAATTTCCCCCCTAGATTTTCTTGATTTTTTAAGGGATTCGCTTTAAAACAAAAGAGGCTTTGGCACAATGGTCACGTACTACTGCCTGCTCCTCGGCCGTATCAACTGTCGGATTTGTGTTGGCATTATTCAATTCAATTCACTGAGCAGCGTCGCCAAGTTAAAAAATAAAATGGCTAGCAACAAAACATATATGAGGGAAGCAAGGGGAAATAAAGAAAAGTAAGGGGAAATAAAGAAAAGTAAGGGAAAATAAAGAAAAGTAAGGGAAAATAATAAAAACCCAATAGAGAGGCGTCTGGTTTGACCCACAAAAATAGGGCTTTTGGCAGACACAATCGCTCACAATAAACGCTCCGTTAAATCAATCGAATTTGTAGCAATCACTAGCAGCCACACTCAACACACACACACACACCCTAAACACACACACACCCACATTATGTGAATTGAGTTTGAAATCAAAACTCAATTTCGGACAGCCACCAGAGGAGGGATGGATGAGGAGGTGCCTTCGCGTTGCGTCGGTGAAAGCTATCAAAAATCTGTCTAAATAGCGACAACTACCTTCTCCTCCTCCTCCTAACGCTGCCAGCCATGTCGGTATGGCGGGTGTCATTGAAATTATTTTGACATCCCCTACAAGGGGGGTGAGAAAATGCAGTTGGAGCGGGAAATGCCAACGCAGACAAGCAGGGCAAACTGTGGTTGTCAGTTGGGTAAACCGAAACAACGACAGGAGCAGCAGCAGCAGCAGCAGGATCTGCAGGATGCTGGGCTACAAAACTAGAGAAACAAGGGGACTAGAATAGAGAAATGCCAGGATAAACGGTATATATGGAGAGACAGGACTTTCACATGCGGAAATTAATTGCCAGGACGCTGGGTGCTGCTCTACCGAAACTCTTAACAATCGAAAACAATTAAGGTTTCTTGGCTTGAAAAGATAAACAAGCTTTGGCTTTGGGCTTCAAAGAATAGGGAATAGTTAGGGAGAGAGATATATATAAATTTCAATTTTTAAAAATAAAATATATATAAATTATAATTAGGAAATTGTAATACCCTGCAAGGTGTATAAAATTATATATTTTTCCTTGAACAACAACATTTTCATTGACTTTTCTTTGAGCATCATTTTAATTTCCTAATAAACAGGAAAATTAAATTTTTATTTTCGAATAAAATTATGAATATTAAATTTTAATTTTCGAATAAAATTAGGAAAATTAAACTTTTATTTTCTAATAAAAATATAAATATTAAATTTTGAGTTGCTTATAAAATAATGAATATGCAATTTTAATTGCTCAATTAAAACCTTCAAAATATTAATTCACAAAAAAGGCGTCTCTTTTTTTTCCTGATTAATATTTTTATATAGGAGCGAAATATTGTTTTTTCCTTATTAAAGAAAAACAGAATGGAGAAAAACACCGCTAAAGGCCATAAATAAAAGTCAGCATTACGCTTGGCTTTTTTAGATAAATATTTATAAAATCAACAAGAAATTTAAATGCCGGAAATGAATGCTTTTTAATTATAATTATTATTATTTTTTTAAATTATTAGTTTTTCAAGTTGTTATTTTTTAAGATATTTTTTTTAACTATTATTTGTTCAGCTTTTATTTTGTAAGTTATTATTTTTCGTGATATTATTTTTTTAAGTTATTATTTTTTAAGCTATTATTTTTAAAGCTATTATTTTTTAAATTATTATTTTTTAGCTATTATTTGTTAAGGTAATTTTTTTTTTAACATTTTTTAAGCTATTATTTTTTAAGCTATTATTTGTTTAAGCTATTATTTTCTTTTAAATAATATTTTTTACCTATTATTTTTTAAGTTATTATGTTGCAAGCTATTTTTTGTAAGCTATTATTTTTTAAGCTATGAATTTTTAGGCTGAGATTTGTGATGCTATTATTTTTTACTTATTATTTTTTAATGCTATGATTTTTTAAGTTATTATTTTTTTGAAGCTATTTTTTTTGAAGCAATTTTTTTTAACATATTATTTTTTACCTATTATTTTAAAGCTATTATTTTTTTAAGCTTTTATTTTTCAAGCTCTTATTTTTTATTAGGCTATAATTTTTTAAGCTATTATTTTTTTAAAGCTCTCACTTCTTCACTTGAATTATTTTCCAAGCTTTTATTATCATTTTCCAATTAATATTTGCCCCTCAATTTTCCGCAAACTCAATTTACATGCGGCTTTATTTATGAGAGACTGAGGCTGCCCATCTTAATGTCCTTTTTTTATATTTAGGGGGAGGGGAGGGGAGGGAAGGGGCGAGCGACAAGCGATGGCCAGAAAGGACACTCGACTGCTTAGCCCCAGGGGTTACTTATAACTAATTGAAACCAGACCAAAGAGGGAGCGGAGTCCGGAGGAGTCATTGGTAAATTGAAAAAATTATATATATATATATTTTGTGCCTGCGATGTTAAAGTATTTGCGGGGCGACACAGGACGAGGGAAATCGATGCTGTCGGTTGACAGTTTGTTAATTAAAAACAGCAGCAGCAGGAGCGAGGGACTGGGCATGTTAAGGGTTTGAGAGTTAATCCAGTGGAGCGGTCACTCAACGTCTCACGCATACACACATACACACACACGCGCGTCCTGCTGCTCCTGCTGCTGCTCCTGCACTTGGCAGGCTCTCCTCCGATGGCAAACGTCAGAGTGACCGGGCTAATAAATTGCCCAGAGAGTCGAACGGAAGGACCAACGAACGAACAGACGGACGAAAGGACGTGCGCGAGGGGTACAAAGGAATCAAAGGACCACGGGTCGTATGAGCAATGTTCTTCTCTCACTCACCTATCGTCGTAATTAATGTCAGCGAGTAGAGAAATGCCGAGGCATAGGTCCATTTGTGGGTGGGCGCATTCATTTGAATGCCGCCAGCGGGATAAACTTTCGACTGACGCACTGCCCGCAGCAAGGTGTCCTGTGCAAAAAAAGGTCAAGGAAATGCTCAATTAGCCACCCGAAATCTCCAAATTCTGCTTTGCTTCCGAAACTCACCTGAAAGAGTTGCACCTCTTGAGCAGCGAGACGCGTCCAGTTTTCTTTGTATAATATGTTGAGATCCTCGGTGATGGACCACAGACGATCCACCGTTCTGGGGGAGAGAGAGAAATGGGTTTTTGAATATTTATAACATTTTTCAAAATTTAAAATATACAAAAACTATATAGAATATTATTAATTTACTGGAATATATTTTATAAATATATAGAAGTCATAAAAATATTATATAAACTTGCTAAAATTCTTATTAAATATATAAATAAAATTAAATTCATACTAAAATAATATCTAGAATATGTTTTAAAGATTAAAAAAAATAATTAAAAATTTATTTAACTAAAAGAAATTAAAAAAAAAATATCTTTAATAAATTAGCTAAGGTATAATAAATATTTATATATGCTAAAATATTTATTAAATATATCATTAAAATTAAATTCATACTAAAATAATATCTAGAACATATTTTAAATATATAAAAAAAAAATAATTAAATATTTATTTAACTAGAAGAAATGAAATAAATATTTAAATAATTATATAATTATATTTCTTTTATTTATTTTTTTATATTTTTTTTATTTATTTTTTTAATATTTCTTTTATTTTTTTATATTTCTTTAATTTTAATTTTAAATTTCTTTTATTTATATATATATTTTTAAAATCTACTATATTTTACCTGGAACGTATTTCCGCATTGGCCAGTTCGGTGCGTGGAAAGGGCTTCGAGGCAGCCACCGCTGTCTCCAAAGTGCCACCATCCTCCAGTTCACCCTCGAGGGTCACAAAGACAATGGAGCCCATGGCGGTGTAGAGCAGAACCAGCAGGAGCACTCCTGGGAAAATAAATTAAAAATCACAAAATTTAAATATTTTTTAGTAGATTTAAAAAATTACCTATATTTAATATAGAAAAATAAAAATAAAAAATATTTAAACAACTAAAAACTTGAAGCCTTTTGAAAAAAACATTTTTTTAAGTTTTTTAATTAATTATAAATATATATTTTTAAATAATATAATATAATAATTTCAAGTCGGCTTTAATTAAAAAAAATAATCACAAGCTCATTTTGTGTCTAAGATTTATAAATATATAAAATTATTATAATTATAAATATTATATAAATTATAAAAAAATATATATAAATATTATATTAATATTTTTATATAAATTTATTTTTAATTACATAAATATTTATATATATATTTATTTTTAAGTATTTATAAATATATAAAATTATTATAATTATAATTATTATATAAATTATTAAAAACAAAATATATTATAAAATATGTTTATAAAAAAAGCGATGTATAAATAATAAATACAATTATAATTAAAATAATTAATTATAATTAAAAGCCCATAAAATTCTGTTCTGCTGGAACACACTGCGTATGATTTATATTACCCATACGCACTGTTGCCCAATACGCACAGCTTTAACACATATTAATTTCATCAGCATTTAGCAATAACTTAATAGTTTATTAACAACACGCCAGTTATAAATGTGTGACTGTAATTAAATTAATTAAATAAGGTGATATTTATTAAATAAATGTAGTTCAATATGGACTTTTTTTTTATTTTATTTTATAAAGGTTAAATTTTTAAATCCAATTTAGTTCAATACATGAATATATATTTTTTTTTTTATTTTTTTTATATATATTTCGTTCAATATAAGCTGCTGTGTTTTTAATTTGCCATTAAATGCAATTAGTGCCATGGACCACATGGCGTATGAGTAATGCGTTGAGTAAAAAACCCAGAAATAGGCAGGCGACATAGGCTTAATTAATTATAATATTTATATATTTATAAAAAAAAAATTTTTAAGGGTTTATTAATAAATATATAAAATAATAAAATTTTCTTTACATTAGTTTTAGAAATGAAATATATAAATAAATTAATTAAAAACTACGGGTAAATATTTTAATATATTTAAATGGTGAAAAGTATTATCAAAAGGTTTTTAAGTATTATAAATTAAGGCAAATATTAAATAAAATAAAATTTAGAATTTATATAAATATAATTTATATATATTTATATAATTTATTAATATTTATATAATGTATTAATATTTAAATACTTTATTTATATTAATCACTCACCTGTGGCCGATATACAATGCGATTTAGGTGCTCTTTGACACCCACATAACGCACCACCGCCGCCCTGCTCTCTGGCCGCCTGCTTCTCGGACTTGGAGCTGGCGCCAACGCCACCCACTCCGCCTGATCCTTGACGACCGCCACGACCTCCGGCGGCTGCCGCTGCTGCTGCTGCTGCGGTGGCTGCCACATTGCTGCTGCCACTGGCGGTGCTATTGTTGCCGCCAGTGCCATCGCTGCCCAGGAAGGCGGCCAGCGGCAGAGGCGACTTCTTGTTCATTGTCCTGATGATGGTCCTGCTGCTCCTGCTTCGCCTCTTCAATCTCAATCCGTCAATCTGTCAGTCAGGCAGCCACTGAAGCTGTTTCCTGATTTTAAGGTGTGTGTTCTCTCTCCGCCGACAATCAAATCAAACACTTGGCTTGGCTCCTTGCATCCCCCAAAGGGATGTGTGTCCCGATTCCGTTGTCATAAAATGTCGCTCGCCCTTTTTTACGAGGCCGTTTTCCTTTTTTTTTTTTGCGTCGGATGCTGCAAATGCAAATATGCAAAATATTCTTGTGAAAACCTTGTGAAAAAATAAAATGAAAATGGAAAATTGCAAACGAGGACGAGGCCTGGCAAATGCCGTGTAATTGAGTCAACACAGCTTCAGGTTAGCACTCTCAGTGTAATATCCTGGCAGGACGAAGCAAAGGAAAAAATGTATATACCCCATAAACACTTCATTAGCGATAAGGCTTGACGCATAAGTGAGCGAATCTTGAATATTTCAGGTAATATGCCACTCGACTTCCGTTGTCATTTGCCATTTTCTTTGCTTTTTTATTTTTATTAGAATATATAAATATGATTATGAAGAACATATATAATATTAGGGAGTTATTTTAATATATTTGTTTATGTTATTTATTATTGTTTTAATTGATAAATATATATAAAAATATAAAACTGATTTGAAGCTTTGATTTTTAAGAATTTTTGTAGTTTATTTATATACATATTTTTAATATTAATTATTTTTGAAAATTATAAATATATTTAAATATTAAAAACTTGCATAAAATACTTAGATTTTTAAGAATTTTTGAGTTTAATATATATTTTTAATAGTTCATTTAATATAATAATATTTCTTTATATTATTTATTATTGTTTTAATTGATAAATATAATAAAAAATATAAAACTGAATTAAAACTTTAATTTTTAATAATTTTTGTATTTTATATATATTTTTTATTATTTAAAAAAATCGAAAACTGATTTAAAGCTTTGATTTTTGAGAGTTTTTGTATTTTATATATTTTTTAATATTTTATTTATATTATTTATTAATTTTAAAATTAATAAATATATTAAAATATCAAAAAATAAAATACTTGATTTGATTTTTAGTAATTTTTGTATTTTATATATATCTTATCTTTTATATCACATTTTAACACATCTTTATATATTAAATATGAATAAAAATTAATTTCTAAGTTAGAAAATAGTTCAAAATAATTAAAAAAAAAATTCCAGCCTTCTTTACTTTAAATTTTTATCTAATTTCAGATTTTTAATATTTTAATATAAATCCTAAAAACTTATATTTCACTTTTTAATAAATTTTAAAATGAAATTACTTCCAAATTTAAATTTAAAATATTTTTTCCACCTTTTTCCCATTTTCCTGACTCCTTTTTTATGTAATTTTCCCACTCACACAATTAGTATTCACTCTCCATTTTTTTGTTTTCGCATATTTTCAAGTGCTTCTCCACACAAAAGGTGTAATTACATTAGTTAAGTGCGTTACATAATTAGTTTTGTACAAAATTATGCAGTAAAAACACAAAAAGCATTTGGATTTTTTAGTGTTTTAACATTTTTTAGAGTAATAAAAAAGAAAAGGACATTGAGACCCCGAAGGGAACAAAAACCAAAAGCCGAGAAGATCAGTGTTCAACGGGGTCAGGGGTCAGGAAGGACATGGAAACAGCCCCAGTGGCATGCTCATTATCCTGGTAATCACAGTCCACACATGAGGGTGTGTGTGTCTGCGTGTGTGTGCTCACACTTTATATCCTTGTCGGCCTGCCGTGTTTTTGTCGCAAATAATCGGATAAACGTGAAGATGGCTGGCATTTAAATTAAAGATTGCTGCCACCGAAGCACAAAAACTTGTCGACTCTCTGGTTTAGCACGTGCCAGGTCCTTCTTTTTTTTTTTTGGCAAGAGGAGAGAGGGTGTGGGTGGATGGAACACATCCTAATACCAATTTTGTGCCACTTCAATTAAGGACACCCAGTTTTTCGGGCCCCGCCTTTCGATGCTAATTAGGTGAAGACATCGCAGCACGTTCCACTCTGGCCGCTTCCCCGATTAATGAAACATGTTCAATTGTTGCCACACACAAATATATATCTATATATATGAATATATGTATGTCTGGGTGTATATGCATGCGTGTTTATGTCCTGGTTATCCTTGTTGTGGCCCTCGGTTGCCATATATCCCAGTATTCAATCTTGTTATGAGATCCTAGATGCCTGGCAACGATAAGTAAAACCCAAATTGGTGCTTCTACTTTTGCATAGAGCAAAAGGAAATAACATAAAAAGGAAAACAAATCTCAATGGATATTGCTTAAATAAAAAATTTAAAAAAATAATAATAATAAAACAAGGAAAAAAAAAAAAAAACAATAATTATTATTATTAAAGTAATAAAAAAAAATTAAAATAAAATAAATAAAAAAATAATAAATAAAAAAATAATAAATAATAACAAATAAATTAAAAAAAAAAAGAAATAATAAAACAAATAAAAATATTTCAGAATTAACATAAAAAAACTACTTAAGAAAAAATAAAAATATTTAAAAAACATGAAACATATTTAAAATAATATTATTTCAATAAATAAAAAATTAAAACAATAAAAGGAAATCATAGGGAGATGGAAAATATCTAAAGTATTATTATTTGAATATATAAATAAATAATTAGTTTAAAGAAAATCATAATATTAAATTCTTTACTGAGAAAAAATGTAACAAAAAATTGTTTTATTTCGAAAGAACAATTTATTCTGTTGTTTTAATATTTTTAAAAGCTTATTAATTACAAGCAAATATTGTGGCAATTTTTATTAATATATTAATTAATTTAGATATTTGTTAAAAATAATATTTAATTGTTTACTTTAATATTTCAACTATTTATTGATTTGTATTCGAATATTTAATTGTTTTAATATTTATTTACATTAATTTTTAATTTTTTGCTTTAATATTTTAACTAGGTAAAATACAAGGAAATATTTTTTAAAGTCTTATTAATTTTAAAAAATATTGCAGCAATGTTTTGTTTAAATATTTAATTAATTTCCATAATTTTTGGTGAAATTAAGCTATTAATTATAATATTCATAATATATTTAAAGTAAGTAAATGGTAATTTAATTACTTAAAAAAAAAGATCATATATTTAATTAATTTACACATTCTCTGAGCAGAGTAAAAGTTTCTATTGTCTAATTGCCTGTGATTTTTGGCAACTAATTATATTTATATATTTATTAATAAACTTAACCTAAGCCTACACATATCTTGCACCTTTTTCTACTTTTTAAAACCCTAGAAACCCCTATTAAATTTTCCCAATTTCTCCCAGTGTCTGTTTTGGCTGTTGAAATAACTACACGCATTGGGCAAATCAAGCGAGATAATTGGTAATTGCATCTGCATATCGCTCCAACTCCCCCACAATCGAAATAGATACATGTTCATATATAAAGATATAGATATAGATATAGAGGGGGTGCAAGGACCAACCGAACATGCAATCGAAATGGAAATACTTTTGGTTTACCTCAAGCTAAATGCGACAGTATTTTGGAATTTCTGATTTTCGCAAATGCCAAAAGTTGCCGGCACTTTGGAATAGCAATCTGCATGCCAGAGCAGTGAGACTTGCAGCCCGCATCCATCACGATTATCCCAGCGGTCAGCGGTCATCAATCATATGGCAAGGACAACGAATCAATCTCGGCAGCTCCGTGAAAGGATTTACTTTAAGTGCTGTCGTTAAATGTTTTTTGCGAGACTTTTCCAGCAAAATGCCAGGAGTAGAGTAACGTAAGTACCATCCTTTGCACAAATATTTGTGTATTTATGAAAAGGGAAATAAGGATAAATAGAGCGAAACTCTCTGGGTGTTGGTGGCACAAAAACCACTTCAAAAGGTGTCGAAATGGCAACACATTTTTGAATTGCAATCAAAAAATAAATGAATTTTTTGCCATTTGCTGAATGTGTGGTAAGTACTGGCTTTGGGTTTTGGTAAATTGCATTTGGACACCTTTTCGAATTGGAAAATTAAAGTTTTTATTATCAGAGATGGTTGTTAATTTAAAATACATTAAAATTAGAAAATAGTTCAAAATATTTAAACAAAAAAAAATTGCAACCTTCTTAACTTCATTTTCCCTTTAGTTTAAGATTTTTGGTACTTATTTCTTATATCCTTAACATTTATATTTAACTTTTTGATAGATTTACAAATGAAATATCTAAAAAATAAACTTTATAAATATTTCCAAATATTTTTAAACTTCTTTCTTTGCTTTTTTTAAATATCAACTAGAAATCAACTAAAATGTTGAAAAGAAAATTTTAAAAGAACTGAAAGTTAATTTTAAAATTATTTAAAATTAATTTTAAAACAATTTAAAATAATTTCTAAAAATTTTTGATTTTTAAGATATATAAAAACCAAAATTTTGGATTTTACTAACTTCTTTTTACGATTTTCTCTCCTTTTTTCTTATTTTCTTTATTCCTATTTTTAGTTTTAATATTTTCTTATTTACATTAATATAATTTTCATATTTTGTATCATATTTTTTTTCGTATTTTTTCATATTTTGTATCATATTTTTTTTCGTATTTTTTCTTATTTTTTCATATTTTTTTCTTATTTTCTTTATCATTTTCCCTCCCCCTCAAATATCACATTTTCACCTAAACTCCCCCTAGAACCCCACTCAATCCTTTTGTCTGAGTTTTCCCATATAGATTTTCCCAAATTGAAATTTCCCCTAGAAATTCAAGGCTTTCAATTATTTTGTTATTTGGATTTTGATAAGCAAAGGCTTTGCTTTGAAATTTAAAACAAAGTACCAGCAAGCACCACACAGAAGAGGCTTTTATTATCTATTGAAAATCCCCTACGCATTTTCCGACATTCAATATTTGAATGCTAAGTGTGTGTGTTTGTGTGTCTGTGTGAGTGTCCTGACATTTAAATATTACACCTGTTTGCCACGCCATTTGCCGCCCAGCTGCGTGTCAAGTCGGCCTGCTTAACCACGCCCCATCCCACCCTCACGCACACACACCCACACACCTTATACACACACATACACCCACCTGAAACAGCATTTATTTCGCCTTTTTAATTGCTGACATTTATTGAACGCTTCTCGCTGGCGTGTGTTAAATCTACCGTGAGAAGAACGCAACATCGACAGGTCACACATATA